TATTGATTATGCGACCGATATCGTCTTGCTTTTTGACGATGACAGGGCGGTGAAATCAACCCTTGATAACCTCTCTAAAGTGGTCCCCTCGTTTAGCATACGCTTCGCACATTCGAAGTACAAAGTGTTGTTGCAAGTCTATCACCCACTTGATGACCCTTTGACCACTGATGGCGTAGGAACTCGAGGTAGTTGATCGGCAACGATGGGGCGCATAAAGACTGTAATCAGTTCACGCATTGCAAAAGCCAGAACTGGCTGCGGACGTCTTTGGCATCAGAAAGCGGTTTTCACCGGTTTAAAAGGCCGTGTTTACATAGCCGCAGTGAGGGCCGTCCTACTTTATAGGGTGAGACTGTTACTTCGGACCGAGTTTTTGAGGCACTTTCACGTTTTTGATCACCGCTGTCCGCGAAGCAGTGCTGGTGTCGGGTGGCACCAGCGTGTCTGCAACGATGGTATGCGTAGGCGAGTGCTACCTAGTGATAATTTAGCTAGTTCCCTAGAACAGCATACCACACTGAATAAGCTGCGTTTAGTTGAGCACATATGCCTGATCACCGCTTACCGAGGATGGCCTGGCTTCATTTGTCATTTGTATGGTTGCGCAAGATCCGAGCTGGGCAAAAATTAACTTGGCAGTGATACTGAAGTCACTGACTAGTGCACTGGACACTTCTGGTGCATCTCGGTTTCCTGGTTGAAGTCCTCGTTACCCGCCTTGTGCTTGTCTCGAGACGTTACAGGACATGGTTCGCAGTCGACACCAGTAGCGCGTCTGCTGCCGTCTGCTAGTCAAGCGGACTGTTTAAAGTGTGTTTGGTGCCGGGTTATCTGCTAGGTAATGGCCGATTATGACGCGGGGCAGTGAAGGCCGCAAGGAAGCACTCTCGCCGATGCCACCTTATGTTTGCATATTATTCAACTGTTTGTGACAGTATGTTGTTGACGCAACATGTAGAGGCCTTGACCCTGAGTGTTTGTTTAGTGCATTAAGGTTTCACTCTAGATCCTCCTACGTTACTTCAGTTCAAGTGGCTGGTGTACTTCTGTTGTGTGTCGTTCTATCCCCACCAAGCATGCTTGAAGCTTGGGTCTTTAGATGGTGTACCCCCTATCGCACACCATTCGTGCCCCGAGTCACTGTAACTGTGACGCGTATTCTGCCACCCTTCCTCACCACCATTTAGTATATGCGGAAGACAGCGGGAGGTTCGGTGGCGGCCGGCTCTGCAGTGACGTCACACTCTCACGATTGTGCAAAGAACGAGCGATTGTTAGGCGGATAACTACGCATTCCATTTGGCCTAAGCTTACGTAGCTCCCGTATGTCTCCAAGATCAGCGAACGACAATGATGTGAAAACGTGTGTCTCCGTATGTTTACTTCTGACCATGGTGCATGCGCATGGAACTTGTCTGTCTTATATTAGACGGGTACACCGAGCTGACCGGATTACTTTTTACCTACGAGAGGATTATACTTTAGTTCAGTTCATTTCCGTTCGTTAACGTTGATCCGATCGCGAAAATACCATGAGTCCAGTGGACTTGAAAAACTGAGACAACACAATGATACTGATGATGTTACTAACAACATCAATTCAGAATCAGTGAATTGGGGTCAAAGTCGTCGGCAATAGTCCGAAATGAATAGGTCACTGAGTTCGTTGCCACTCAAAATCTACTCTCGTGCCCAACCACTTATGCTTTCGATCCCCAGAGGGCACTGCACGAAGGCTATTCAGTTTCTCAGATATGCGCACCAACCTCATCACTGCGTCATAACTCACTTTCCACAATATGTCGCCGCTCATCTTTTGTGGAAATCGACCGCCACTTCGCTTTCCTCTCTACTCATGTCTCAGGTTACTATCCATTGTCCTCAGGATAACTAGCGAAACTGTCTTCCGGTTCTAAGGTCTCATTCCACTGAGAGTGTCACGAACCTCGCATTGTTGTAGTACGTTTCAATACATGTAAACCCGGTGACAGCCATTCGTTATGGACACACCTAGTAGAAATTCCGGGTACAACGTGTTGGTTCGGGTGTTGCAAGGATCGTTATCTCCCAAGGTCATCTAATCCTAGACCGATTTTAATTACCTATGTTCGACCATCAGGCGAGCGAATACACGTGATGTGTGCACCGGTTAGGGCGTGAACACGCATGTGATTTCGACTCCTCAGTGGGCATCCGAGTCACGAAGTTTGCTACGGCCTTTCGTAACCGACGTCATCAAGCACGTTTCCTCTCCACTCTAATGTTTGACGAGAGGAATTCGCCAAATCATCTTTTGCCCTTCGCACACTGTGAATTCGTTTATATGCCATGATTATTATTATTTTGCTAACAGGCAAATTAAGTGTTTCGGAATACCAGTAGCTCTGGCTGACGATTTGAGTGCTCATTTGTTCGCCGGGCCTGGCTATTTGATTGTATACGTTTCGCGAGGTGACATCGTCGTATGAAAAACAGACAGAAATGTTTTGTTCCAATTTCGCCGAAGTTGCAGCCTACGGTCCAGTCCGTGCATACCTCTTTTCCAGCTGACGTCTTCGTCCGGCACTATTGCAACGTCGGATGCACCACATTCGGCACATGCATATTTTAACTTTCCGGATAAGACTTCTTTTCTTACCTTATTTAATTCCTGTTCACATTATCCGCTGTGATCATCGGTTTGCATCCCATCAGCAGCACCATTCCCCTCAAATACACACAGGCTGATGACCGTGCTGTTGTCCTCACTATGGTTGAGCGGCTTACACTTTGTGTGTGCCCGATCATCCACTTAGCAGTGATGGTTTCCTGCTCCTTCAGGTGTTGTTATAAGACGCTGGATCCGAACTCACCAGGGCCCATCATCACTGCCCGCTTCAATTTGTCTAACTTTTAACATTTTGAAGCCAACCCACACTAAATTCGCATCTTGTCCCGACAGAAGAGCAGTTAATGGTTTTACTAAGGTCTGTATACGCTTTGAAGCACACCAACTTATGATCCATTTAACATCGGCACCTCCAGCACGAGTACCATGCACTCTTCGTGCATATCACGCCGACGCACTACATCATGGTCAAGCGAGCGATCTTAGTTATTTCGCATCACTGATAACTGGGTGTCAGTGTACATCAGGCTCATCGTGAGGAGACGGGACCATAACGTGGTGGTTTGGTTCTTCTTAGTGATCTCTTGAGCCACGCTTGGTGGCCCTTTCCGAATGTGTCAGTGTTATGTAAGACATGTCAATGGTGGGGAATCAGACTTATCCAGTCACAGTGTCCTCTTTGGGGGTTGAGGAGAACTCTATGTTCCTCTTCATTGTAAACGTAACCACGAGGTGCAACAGTCGACAGGCTATAAGCTAGCTTGCCGAACAACTGGCTTGTTTGCCGAACAACCGGCTGGCTTACCGATCAACTCTCGTGGTGCCAGCTGGGTGGTTCGTGTTTTTCCCGTTCCAGCAAATGGTTCAGCGGCAGTGTTCCAGGACGTGGTGGATTTTCGCCTGGCAAACGTTCTCCCTATAAAAAGCCACAAATGTCTGCTTAACAACACTGCGACGTAGCGGATGTGACTCGCCACTAAATAAAGTCACTGCCCCTTGCCCCTCCATGGGAGGCATTGTACTTCAAAGGTGCATTGGGCCCCTGGTCCTTCACGGACAGAAAGGTGTATGAACCATCTATTTGGCCACCGGCTCCCAACGGGTTGCGACGCCCTCACATTACCCTGCTGCCTTGTAGGTTAGATCTTTGATCAAAGGTTCGGTGTAGGGCTCCCTAAGGACAACCCTCTACTTCGGCCTGGGCAACCGGGTAGTATCACGCCCACTGAGGAATCATGGACCACTTTGCTTACTACAACTCCTGTTATGCATATCTTCTATGCTAATTCAATTGTTCAAACTCTACTCACAGATCACTTCACCTCCCGTCCTTCACCTATATGTACTCTTGTATCTTCTTCGGTCACCATCACAAACGACTCACGTCTCGCAACTGATGGAAGTAACAGCCAAACTCCCGGTTTTCAATGTCCTGCGATCGCAGCCGCCTCTCACTCCATCGAAGCTCCACCTCTTCTTCGACCTTGTTCTCCATTCATCCTCGAAGCGTTTAATGTTCGAACTTTGATGCAGATCGGACGACAAGCATGTTTAGCCCGTACTCTTGAAACGCTTTCGGTAGACATCTGTTGCCTTTCAGAGACCAGATTACAAGACTATAGCGCCGTCATCAGAATGACCTCTCCGGTAAACCCTGACGCCAAATACCACTTGCGGCTTTCCGGAGACCCAGAAGCTGCCGCCTCCGGCCAAACTGGTGTTGGGGTTGCACTGAATGCCAGAGCTGACTCAGCTCTGCTTGACTGGATCCCAGTCAAGAGTCGGCTATG